AACCAGTCCTTTTGAGATACCCATAAGCTGAACAAAATCATGCGATTATAACTAAAGAAAATATTCCATTACCAAACTTGTTCTTTTCATAAATGAAAACTGATAAAGTTCAAATTGTTAAAAATCAGACAAAATATTGTCATTTATAACAAGATATTTATAAACTTTGGTTAGATATTAAAGAAAAAATCATTTCAACACTGTAGTGTTTGTGTGCTGCATCTTGTCAGTATTCTTGTTAAAGTACAAATTATCTAGTAAGCTGATGCAACACACAAATACACACAGAGATTAGTACAATGTATGTGTTATAAACTGCTCAGTGTTATTAATATTTCTTTACGTACTAAATACGTACCTTTTCTTCAATTTCAACTTTTGTACCACCATATTCTGGTAAGAGCACATCATCTCCAGGTTTAACGCCAACTGGAATCGTCTCTCCTTTCTGTAAAACAAATATCGCTAGTATTGTTTAACCATTGCCTTGTTTTCCAACAGTATTATAAACACGTTAAAATGACTACTTTAATAACAAAACGTGTTCAAATCCACTTGCCTACTCAACAACTGTTGTACAAAGCCATAATAAATATTGTTTTAAATAAAGTTAATCTTGATCTCACAATAAAAAAAAGATATGCTCTGTAATGACTATTCTTTAAAATTCTATGACCAGTATATACGTATTTACAAAAATTCTATATTTCATCACTCTAACAAAAGCTTTGAATTTCAGCTGCATATATTTACATAATCTGATTCAGGTTTTTATCATTTACTTAAAAGGACATCTATTTCTTGACCGAGATGTTATCATATTACAGCAAAAAGAAAATAAATAACAATACTTACACTGTAACTTTATATAACACATCTTGCAATTTATAATAACAATAATAAGAATAAAAGACAAATACCAACAGAAAAATAACTTTTAATGCAGTTTTACATTTAAAGCATATAGTTTGTTTCAGCTTTTCCTTGATCTATTACACGTGTGCTAGGAAGATAATAATAGGCTTGGTAATTGTGAATTCCATAATTGATATGGCTGTAGTGGACCGGTTTTTTCTATTACAAGTGGGTTATGAATACAAGAACTGGATATTAGATTTGGTTACTGTTAATTCCATGACTGATGTTGCCGTAGTGGACCTGTTGTTCTTATCATTGAGGTATTTTATAAAAACTGGATAATCTAAAACATCTTATAAAACTAACGAGCTGCCCAGTTACAGTGCTGAGGAATTCCACCTTTAAAATCCAGTTTGTTTCAATCTTCCCTTGGTTTACTACATGTGGGATAGGAAGACAACCACTGGATATTAGGCTTGAATAAAATATTGTCTAATATCTAAAAACTTACCATTCTTTAGTTATAAAAATATAAGCTGAAATATGCAAAGAATAAAAAACCAAAGGGTTAAATGCATAAAAACTCAAACTGTTGCTATTACTAAATTAATAGCATTTCATGTACAATGTCCATAACATATACTTTGTTTTGCAAGTTAATTCATTTGTAATTTTGGTTTAAAAACATTGTGTTACTTTAGTTGAACTAGATATGTTTAACATTTTCAGCAACTTCTGTATGAGCAGTAGTTATTTAGAATTATTCTTTTATTTTCAAGCAGCTTTTAAACCTGGCAAAATACTGATAATAATAGATACCATGTGATCTTTGTGGAGAAATCCTTTGGAAGTTAGATACCATGTGATCTTTGTGGAGAAATGCTTTGGAAGTTAGATACCATGTGATCTTTGTGGAGAAATGCTTTGGAAGTTAGATACCATGTGATCTTTGTGGAGAAATCCTTTGGAAGTTAGATACCATGTGATCTTTGTGGAGAAATCCTTTGGAAGTTAGATACCATGTGATCTTTGTGGATAAATCCTTTGGAAGTTAGATACCATGTGATCTTTGCTTTGGAAATTAGGGAGTTACTTTCTCAGTGTTCCCAGAGTCAAGATGTGGTTTTTGTTTTCATTTATTTAAATCAGGTAAGTTTTAACTGGAATTAAAACAAGCTTAAACATTTCTTATGTCTATGAAGAAATCCAACCTATTGTTTTGTCCCAATAAAAGAAAATGAGGCTTGCATGATTACAAACAGAAAGCTATAATGGATAGAATACCTGCACGAGAAGCACTGGGACATTTGAATACTAAACAGCCCTAATTTTTACTTCTCTTAAAAACTTACACTTTAGTTCAAAATCTAAATGCACACAGTGATACAAAAATAGTTTGTTGAAACCCAGTTGTTACTTATTAATACTACACATTAACAGTAACAAATTACAATACTGACCTTGTTACAAGCACCAGGACCAGCTGCTAGTACTTTTCTTATTAACACTCCTTGTTAACAGTAATTAATTACAATACTGACCTCCTTACAAGCACCAGGACCAACTACTATTACTTTTCTTATTAGCACTCCTCGTTAACAGTAACAAATTACAATACTGACCTCGTTAAGAGCACCAGGACCAGCAGCTAGTACTTTTCTTATTAACACTCCTCGTTAACAGTAACAAATTACAATACTGACCTCGTTACGAGCACCAGGACCAACTGCTATTACTTTTGCACTTTGTATTTTAGCTTGAGCTTTTTCAGGAATCATGATGCCTCCCTTGGTTTTCAGTTCTGGTTCAAACCTTTGAACTAAAATCCTATCCATTAATGGGATAAGACGCCTGCCAATACCTGCCTGAAAAAAGTAGTGATAAAATAATTTATTTGCATTTTACCATGCATATTCTGAAATCCAACTAACCTAAAATCATTACAAGTACTAAACATATGAAATCATAATATACACCATATCTCTCTCTCTCTCTCTCTCTATATATATATATATATAATAAAACTCTGAGGTTGATATAATTAAATAATACATATGCTGATGCCTGTTTTTACATTTCACTTCAAAATAAGACTAAGAGTAGCATGTTCACAGTATTTGAATGTTTCTTTAGTTTCAAGAAAATTTGAAAGAAATGCCTAAGAAATCAATCTTGGATTATGTACAACAATCTAATTGAAAACCAGAAATACTGTCAGCAAAACCTATGAAACAAAATAATAATATTTACATGATACACCATGTGATGTGGTAAATAGTTTTTAGTAGAGCTGATAATTATATACACATCACATTTGTGCGATGACCTATTGCAAAGACAGTATTCTTTAATAATTCAAGAAATATTAAAAATAAATG